GGCGTGGGTGATCGGAGGGACCAGGCGATGGCTGCATTTGGTTCATTAACAGTCTAGTCATAGAGCAGTTCCGTTTGTAGATTTGCGACGATCGGCAACGAGAATGCTTCTCCAATCAGGGGTCAGGGAGGTAGTGTTAGTCAAACAACCTTCGCGTGGCAAGGCAGTGACAACAGACGTCCTAACAATCGGGGTGCCAGCCGCTAACCTCGATGCGAGGTGCATGCGTATGCCCTAGCTCTGTCTTCATACAATCAATCAGAAATGGGCGCGCCTATTGATATAAAGTTTTCGCCAAATCGCGGTGGGATCAGCGTGGCGCAAAGGGACGTTAAGCGGACCGAAGACGGCATGTGTGAGTGGCTGCCGTGTGGGGTCAAACTGCCACATAATGCTCGCTTCGGGAATGAAAAAGTATGTGGGAAGTTTGGGTGTTAGGTCTGGGGTATGTCGTGCATTCCCATCAGCCAGTCCGCCACCTGAGGTTTTTCCGCCGACGACATTACGTTAGGGCCGTCCCATGTGACGATGTCCACTGTGCACCCTCTGGCATAGTTGACGCAGGGAGGCGGCTCATACGTGAATTAGCTTGCAGTGACGAGGGACTAGCGCAGCATCTACTTTACATTGCCGGCTCCGGCAGCAAGACAGAGTCAGGACGACCGGGGGAGCGGGATCGGGTGCAGTGGCTAACGAAATTGACCGGCCCGTCTACGCGGACTGCACGCGACCCCGTGCACTCGAGCGTGTACCGGGTGTTTCACTGAGCAAAAGGGCACGGCTCGGGTCTTATTTGAGTGGGACTGCCACAGAGACCCTATTACGAAGGAACGATCGGGCCTGACACCCTGTGGTCGAGCCACTCACCCCACATGCACAGTTCTGACCATGAAAATCAAGTTCTCCCGTCATTTGGCAGCCTCCCAAGCCACGCATTGCGATAAATTAAGACGCGTAGTGATGAGTGCATTGATGTGCTCCGGGAAGGCGCTCCCACCGTCGACCTCACTCTATTCCGTCATGCACCAGCTGGATGCCCGAGCTTGTCAACCGACTGGTGATGTGTTTGTCCGCAATGGCTGACAGGGCTGCAACGGTCTGTCTGCGTTCGCCGCTCAACACCCGGCCGGACACCAGATTGCAACAGAGAGCATGCTTCCTTCGAACGTGTGAAGCAAATGTTCTGGCCGTGTTCCAGGCTCGCGGCGCCAGCTGGGTTGTGGGTTTATGGATTGGCGGGACGAAGTGTGATGATGGAGTGTGGGCAGCGCCCTATTGCTGCAGGTTTTCATGAAAA